CTTTTCCACCTGTGGGTCTCACCTGTCTGTTGTCCCCTTGCTCTATGGGACAGGTTTTGGGAGGTACATTAGCTCTGCAGTGACTGACTCCACCAGGGAGACTGCAGTGGTCCCCGTGATGTATCCTGTGGTCCCACAGATGCTGAACCCCTTTATCTACAGCCTATGAACAGGGACATGAAGGAGGCCTTGAGGAAGCTCATGTGTAGCACAAGTTTCCCCTGTGATGTGCATTGCTTTGGACTTGTTTTTCTGCAGTGATTCACAGTGAGGGGATTCCTGGTGAGCCAATCACCTGATACTCCTGCCACCACATTCTGCTAAAAGGAGGAGATAATGTAATGACTAGCTGCAATTTCACTTTCTTTGAAACTTTCCAATGTTTCATGACCATCTCTGGAAGGCCGACACATGACTTCAATTCTCAAAGCATAATTTCTGTGCTTGAAACTAAAGAGGCCAAGCTTGGAGCACGGGTGCTAGTGACAGCATCTTTTTTTGTGATGTGATCTCAGAGCAAAGCAAGTTGAGGCAGTGGACAGGGCAGGGATAATTATTTAAACAAAGCAGAGGGAAGATGAAAGAGGACGTCAACAGGTGCAATCTTGTTATTTGAAATGAAGAATCAATTGTGGTGTTTAATGGCATATCGAGGCAAATATAATTAACAACAATTTATTACATTGTGGCATAGGAAAAATTATAAATGCAATTTCAATAGGGAGTAACAGCCCTGTCTGAAATATTTGCACTTGACATTCATCTGAAAATTAACTAGAATCTACTGTGCAAAATATACAAAGTAAAAATTCCAAATATTTAGAAAATACATGATGATTTTTCAAAAGGAGAAACTAGGTGTGCTTTCTTTTCTAGAAGATCCTTGCTAGCATTTATAGTATTTTACTAATGTTTAGGACATATGTTCAAATTCATATTGGAATCAGACTTTGTGTTCCCATGACACATATAGAGATGCTTTTGTGTATAGATGGAATGGAAGGTAGGAATTTATTGGAAAAGTGCCATAAGAAATGTGTGCCCCGGTGCTGGGCATGTGGCTCAAGCGGTAGCACGCTCGCCTGGCATGTGCGCAGCACTGGGTTCGATCCTCAGCACCACATACAAATAAAGATGTTGTGTCTGCCAAAAACTAAAAAATAAATAAATAAAAAAGAAAGAAATGAATGACAGTCCATCTAACAGTGAGAAGCAGAAACAATGGCGAGAATGGGGTGTTGTGTGCTGGGCCTCAGGGGTCAGGAAATCACCTTCCTTGACTCACAATTTGTATAGAGTTTGTCTTGAAGGATGTTCTCTCCTGGGATCAGAAGGAGAGTAAGACTGCTGTCTAATGAGCAGCTTTGGATATTGAGCCCCAGGGACACAGAGACTGTAGGAGTCAGCCTGTGGCCACCTCGTTGACAGCCCTGACTCAGCCAGACAGCAGCACCTGGGCTTCCTCCCAAAGATGAGCCTTTCTCACTAGGAATGTCACCTCTGGGTGACCAGGACTTCTCCACCTCCAGGTGAGAGTCTGAGCCCACTGCCAGTGAGGTCCGCCAGGTAACGGATGGCTGCTAGGTTAGTGCTGGGGAGGGAGGGCAGGGGTTTCATGAGTGCTCGGCCTGGGGGAGCAGGGAGGAGAGGACGAGCTTGGATCAGGAGAAACTGCCCCTTGACTCCCCTGTCCGCTGTCCGTCATGCCCTGGACAAGCCCTCGAGTGCCTGCACACCAGTGCTCACCAGCTCCGATGCTGCTGGCCTCAAGGACAGGACCCGTCTCCTTGTGAGCAGAAACCATCCCTCCCTCTAACACAGCGGCTGTTTCTAAATGTTCTGGTGTTGGCTAGAGTTCCTGTGGGGTGCCCAGGAGGGCTCTGGCCAGTGTGCTCATCTCCTGAGCTTTCTACCCAAACTAGCACCAGAGGGACACGGGACACTGGGAGTTTATTTTCTCACCGTTCTGGGGCCAGACTTCCAACAACCACAGTGTCCGCAGGACACGTTTCCTCTGAGGCAGTTCTTTATGTTCATCATAGATGACCACCTTCTCCCCACCAGGTTCATTTACACTCTATAGTCAATAAAAAGAGGCAGTCCCCCTTAGCAACCATCAGCCAAGGAATGTGGAAATCAATTGTGGCAATATAGCAGAATAGTGTGTATTTAAGTTAAATGAAGAAGCACTAACTATGTCATCAGTAATCAAAAAATAGATGCCCAGAGAATGCCAATTAAAACTAACATACACTCTAGACTTGTTTGTATAAAGATTTAGGGGCTGGGGCTGTACCTCAGTGACAGAGCTCTTGCCTAGCACATGTGAGATACTGGGCTCCATCCTCAGCACCATATAAAAATAAATCAATAAATAAAGATATTTTGTCCATCAACAACTAAAAAAATATTTTAAAAAAGATTTATAATGTGGAACATTATCAGTGATTATTTGCAAGATAACTACCAAATTAGTAAAAATAAAGTGACAATAACATATATCTTGTTAGCATGTTCATTTTATTAATGTAGTAAAAAAATCAATTTTGTGCAAATGTGTGATGTCAGGTGGGAACTTCATTTCTGCCCCTTATTTTATTTAATAAAAAGTACCTAGCATGTATATGCTCACAGGATTGGTATGATCCTACAACATGTATGATCAGAAGCATGAGAAGTTAAAGCCCATTTTTGTAGGATGTGTCAAAATGCATTCTACTTTCATATATTACTAATTAGAATATATTTTTAAGAATGAAAAGAAAATATCTCAAGAGAGTCTCCTCAGGATAGGAATGTGTATGAATTTTTCATGATGCCTATTGGATGTCCAACCCTACTTTACTCTGTTTTCTTTTACACATAAATGTCCCATAAAAAATAATGTGCACCTGTGCAGGCTCAAAAATACTGAAAAATTTTCAGGGTATAGACATGTTCATA